TCCTCCGGCTTGGCCTTCACTTCCTCCATCGACACCTGGAGCGCCTGGATCTTCTCCTCCAGCTCCTTCTCCCTCTCCTGTTCCTCCGCCTTCCGCTTCTCCGCTTCTGCCTTCTCCGTCATCAACTTCCTCAATTCCTCTTTCTTCTTCTTCTCCGTCTCCTTCTCCGTCTTCCTCGCCAAACTATGCTCCATCGCCAGCGCGTTCAATGCCTTCTGCGCATCGTCCGGCTCCTGCTTAACCTCCGGCTCCTCCGGCGGCATCTGATACAACGCCGTGTATTTGTTGAGCATGAGGTAGGGGCCGGCAAACGTGCTCACCGATATTCCAGATTTCCTGGAGCGCCCAGAGGTAGGCGCGCGTGTACCACCGCGATTGCGAGGCGTGCGCGGAGTGCGGGGAGTGGTGGCTTGGCACGATGGGCCGGGGGTAGGTGGACGGGTCGGGGCCGGAGCCGGAACTTGTTCTCCTCCGTCCTCATCCATTCCCTCGTCCTCCTCCGGCTGACCCGGCGAAACGTTCTTCCGCCATTCATCCATCTCCTTCTTCTTCGTCGTCTTCTCCTTCTCATCGTCGCCCTTCACCTCATCCATATCCATCTTTCCCCTATTCTGCAAATACTCCACTATCTCGTTCGGGACGACTCCCCCAATATCCGACTCCCACTGGTTGCAGAACCGCTCCGCCATGAAGTCGCAAAGACTCTCCAATTGGGAGACGCGCGCCCTAACCCTCCTCAGCTCCAACGAGTGGGCAGCGGACGTTGGAGTAACGTCCGGCCCACCCGTCGCAGCCGGGGCACGCGTCCCCGCCTTGGCCTTGCTCTTCTTGACCTCCGGCTTCGTCCGGCCTTCCGACTTCGCCCTCGACGCCTGCTCCACCCGGTGTTTCTTGACGGTGGGTGGGCGAGCAGCGTTCTCCGGCAAGGCCGGGCACTTGATGTGGCCCGCGGCGCAATTCTTGCAGGCGTCCTGCTTCTTGTTCCTGGCGCGGAGGCACTTGGTGCCCTTCGTCACGAAGTTGTCGCAGGCTAATGGGAGTTAGTTGTCAATGAAAATATCTGAACGAATACTCACCCGGCTTCCTCTCCTCCCACTCGATCTCCTCCAGCTTCAACTTCTTGCGAGGACGTTCCTCCGCCACGTCCGTCTTCCGTCCCCGTTTTCCTCCCGCCTTCTTCACCTCCTCCTCGACCTCCTTCGCCTCCTCCTCGACCTCCTCCATTCCCTCCGGCACCGTACTGTGCTCACTGGAGTGCATCGACTCGTCCGGCACGTCCGCCTTGTCCGGAGTGACTCCGTGAACGACGTCGGCGGCCTGGATGCGGTCATTGTCGTCGGCCTCGCCAGCCTCCAGACGCTGGCGGAGCTTCTGGCGCTCCTTGACGAGCTTGCTCAGCTCCTTGATCTCGTCCAAATACTCCCGCTCTTGTGCATGGAGTTGATGGGCAAGTAGCCCATCCGCTTGCTTGTTGGCCTCTACCAAGAGAGGCTTGGGGATTTGTCGGCGGTGGTGGTCGTCGTCGACAGCGGCGGCGTCTTCGGGGTGTTCCTCTTCACTGTCCACCCGGCGACGTTGCACCAGGCGGCCCTTGGCTTTCTGCTTGGCGGTGAGACGGGGCGGATCAGAGGAGTTGGACGGGGCGGACGACATGGTGGTAGTAGAGGAAGAGAAGTTTTTTGCAAAGTTCAACTTCCCACGATCTCACGTGACTTTTTGATGCGCAGTCAACAATTATTCTATCGGACTCTTCGGCCTTCCCTTCGTCATCCCTACGACTCATTCTGATTCCACAGAACTCTTAGGTTCCTTAGGGTCAAGGAACCTTAAGAGGGGGATACTGTTACGCCCATGCAGTTTCACCCGGTCGTCCGGCCATCCGTCCCCCCGGCCTCCGGCCATCCGGCCCCCGGCCAACTTCTATTCGTCCGTCCTCTGTGCTCCGGTTCATCCGTCGAAGCATACACCCATCGGGTTTTCGCAATAAAGGTCTTCTGAGCGTTCCCGAATCAATCCCATGATCTATGCCTGTATGCTTCTCTCTTATTGTCTCTATTGTCTTTATTGTTCTTTCGCTTACAACTCTTATTGTCTTTACTTACTATTACCTTATATGGCCTTTCTCCGTAATACGTATATATACCTATCTACTTCGTCTTGTAACTTCAGTTGAAAATTACAGCAATTCCTGTAAATAATGGCAATCACCAAAATTTTTCGCGTGCTTTCCCAAAAAGGAAATTCGGGCTCTCCCTCTTCCTTTTGCTGCATTTTGCACCTCCTACTGCCTCTGCCACTCTCTGGCCGATATATTAGGGAATTGGCTACACTACTTGACCACATCTGAACTGTTTTGGTGCAAATTTTTGTGATTTCAGCTCTATGCTGGCCGACTCATACATCTGCGCTGCTGCTCTGTATACCTCGTCCAGGGCTTCCTCTCAGATCCATAGACAAAGCCGCAATGCTCAAATGATTTACTGCCTTCAGGAAGCTCGAAGTTGGCTTTTCTAGGGATGGCCCGGGAGTGAGACTCGAGTCACTGGTGCCATGCAGTATGATCGCTGGCAATAGATGCAGGATCCTGGAGTTTAGACTCTCGTGTGTGCTCCTTATGCTTCATTTCTTTCTCTTTCTGAAAGGAAGTAGCAATTATGTACAGATTCTGAAGCTTTGCATGGCGTCGCCCCCGCGCGGCTCTCGCTTCTGCGACTTTTCCTTCGTCTTACCTTGCAATTGACTGTTTTTCATGAAAAGAGGACCAAAATCGACAGCTCACAATCACTGGCATGACCCCAACGCATCACCGCTTCGTAATTTGGGCTCAGAGTTGCGCCCCTTCGCATTTTGGCCGTCTGCCAAACAGCGTAAGGTAGCACCTTTCCCCTTCAATCATCAGCATGCGCGGGCAGGCGCCGCTATCCACCAGTGATCACTTTTACTCTTACTCTGCCATACTTTTCCTGTTGTCTGTATCATCGATACAGTCTCTACCTCCCTTCAGACGTCGTGACACGCGGCGGCATCGTCTGTACACCTTTGTAACTGATACAAACATACAATGCACTTGATAATGTATCGGAATACCTTTCCAAATTGCTTGAAAGCAAGGCAAGAACAATCCCAACAGTCTCAGATGCTCTCCGTACCTCGCTGTAACGCCAAAAAACACGAGGAGTGTTGCAAGCCCGAATTTCCTTTTTGGGAAAGCGCGCGAAAAATTTTGGTGATTGCCATTATTTACAGGAATTGCTGTAACGTGCTTTGCCTCCGCATTGCTCCGTGGTCAGAATCCTCTATCTTCTTGGAAGTCTAGTTAGTGGCGTACCCTTAGCCCCCTGTGGTATCGCTTCACCCGTCCTCCGTATCCGTCCTCCGTCCTCCGTCTCTTCCGTCATCTCCGTCCTCCGGCCACCCGTCCTCCGTCCCTTTGTTCGACACGGATATAACAGTCACCACTTTGATCCTTTATGATCCTATCATCGATATCTGATCCTATTGATCCTATGCAATCCTTTATGATCCTATCACTGATACCTGATCCTTCTGATCCTATGTCCTTTGTTCTCTTTATGGTAATCCCCTTGTTCCCAATCCTTGTGCCCAATTAGGTCTTCCCCTTTATCTACCATATGTAGCATTCCCTTTGTTCCTCTACACAGAGTGCCTTGAGTCCTCAGTTCTCACTGTTGACTTCAGGCAAGTATTTACTTCACACTGCAATCTACAAGAGTTCTCACTGTTGACTTCAGACCTCTGTGCTTGCCTGTTCAACAAAAGAGCCTAACTCAAGTTCCACAGGAGCAACTGCATCTGACACATTGCGCTGCAAGCAGGCAATGTCAGATGGGGAGGACGCTGTTGGGCGTGGTCCTTTGGAGAGTGTGAGTCTGAGTGCAAGAAGGAAACTGATGCAGCTCTGCGAGTTATTGATGTGCACAGAGCGGAAGATGTGCATGAATATCAGTGTCACTTGCAGTGTTCAAACAGTGTAACAATCTCACCAGCTACAAGTATTGTGTACAGAAACGTGGGTTTGATGAGCAGGAGTGGTTGATTTCAGACGAGGTGATAGTGTAAGTTTGTTTGCTGTGATTGAGAGGAATGAGAGCAACAACGCTGACACGAGTTTCCTTGCGTTTGCGGATGCAAATGAGCTCACAATGTTCACTCATCTCTCAAGACTCTTGACTGCTGTGGACTCAATACCAGAGCTGCTCAGAGCACACGAGCAGATGGGCATCATATCACACATGGTACAATGGAACGTATACATGTGTGTCCTCCTCACAAAATGGTCCCAACGCAAGCACCGCTCGTGCCCTCCGTTAGTAACCCCGTTCCACATACCCCTTCACTGACACGTCAATCTCAGATAACCTACCACTCAACCGCCGACCTCCACATGTTCAAACCTGAGAAGAAGTCCAGGGCCAGATTCCGAGCCATAACAGCCAGAGGCAGATGGTTCATATGTGCAATGGTAGCAAGGGAGATCAAGGCACAAGAGATCACTTCAGAAGCACGAATGTTGATGGACTCGTTGAGTGACGAAATTTTCTTGGGATTGAGATAGTGAAAGAAAGCGGAAAGAAACACGTTGTGTTGAGATTTGGAGTCTTTTCTTTAGAGCTGATGCTGTTGAATATATTCCATGGCGTTGAGAGTTGAATTCTCTGTGCAAGCGAAACACTCGAAAATTTCTTCAGTTGAGAGCCATGGCTTGACACGCTGTATACGAGAAATGGGTTGTGCGAAAGACAAAGAGCGAGCTTCTAGTCGAAAAACAGATAAAAAAAACACAGCAATCACTGCCCTGCCACGTAGTGCACATACTGGGCCTGAAAGTATGTGCCCTCAGAGGCCCGTAAGCAGGTCCCAAAAAAATCCAACGGACTCTGAAAATATTCCATCTAACAGCAACTTTTCTGCCAGATAAGTAGTTGAGTTGAATGTCAAGTAGCTGTTGAAGTCTGGGGTTTAGTCCCATTCGCACTATCAGCAGAATAGCTCAGTTGGATGCCTTCGGGCCAGAGCATCTCACATGACATGCGAAGGTCGCAGGTTCGAATCCTGCTTCAGCCATTTTCCCAACAGTAACGGCCCAATTCAATCCAGGGAAATCCATGCCTGTGTGATTTGAGTTTGCCAGAAGATCCGCTTTCTTGGCAAGACCTCTGTAGGATGCGCAGCATGGCTTCCACATAGTCGTGTGAGCACCAAGCAGCCTCCTCCACTCGTCCCCGAGCACCACAAGTGGTCAAAAAAGAGCTGAACTCATCTAAAAAAAACATTGCAAAGATCTTTGAAGATCTTCGTTGAGTCCGTAAAGTTTCTGAGAGCACATCAGTTTCAAATTGACATCAACAGAAGAAATGCCAAATCTTTACCGTTTTTTATAGAAGATTTTGGAGGTCAGCATGGTTTGTCTCACTCTCTCTCACTATGTCAGCTCCTGTTTAACACAGGGGAATCGGACGACTCGCCTTGGTTGGGGCCACACAATATACCGCTGCCTTGGTCTGGAGCACAAGATCCGCAATCACCATTGACAGGTATGTCTTGTTTCTCAGTGTCTCTTCAACGTAGAATCTAAGCACCAGAACACATTTTCCCGTTGAACTCACATAAAATATATCTATATAGGTATACCTTTGCTTGTATAATTCAAGTCAATAATCAAGGTAAGGAAAGAAAATCAAACTCATCTGAGACGAGTGTATGCGTGGAACCTAAATTTCCATGGGATGGGCAGTGACTTTGGAATGAGATTGTAGCCTGGCTGTGGGGATGAAGCACGAGAAGAGTCTACGAGGAGACTGGGGACCAAGTCTGTGCTCGAGCGAGGACTTGTTATGAAAGCGAGGCAGTGGGATGTGGGGGTTGGGGACGAAACTGAGGAAGCTACCGAGGAAGCATATCTCAAGTATATGGAGACACAACATCCAATCTTGAAACAATTTCTGTCAATCGGGGATCGAGTTGAGAAGCCATCAAATCAAATTAAAGAATTCCCGACACTGTGGCTTATCTATCTATCTCCGATGTAGACGCCTTGGAAGAACATGAACAATACCCCAAATTCCCTCATGGCCTATGTCATTGACCTGTCATAGCTTATCCCGATTCAGTATTAGCCAAAATGTCTTTGCTGAAGAACAAAGTAAGCTTGTTCTTCTCTGAACCTTCAATTTGTTCAATTCAACTCAATGCATGTTCAAATCATGAAATTTCCTTACGTTATTCGTAAAGTGAAGCAATGTGAGAGCTCTGATCCTGATTTCGGGCTTCTATCAACTGCCAAGTCGATAAAGCCCAGAATCTGCCAAGTTTACATAGAAGTGCAATAGAAGCGTGACAGGATCTGGTGGACTTCCATGTGTTTTGTCCTTGGGTTTAGCCGAGCAAGTGTTCAACTAATTCCCTTCTTTCTTGTTTTTTTCCTTCCTTTGGTCTTTGCACTCTTGTTTTCTTTCCATTTGCTGGCTGTCTAAGGTTTTTTAGTGCCAACAGGTGGAGAAATGACTCCTGTCACCTGTCAAGATGCAGTAGTACGACAGAAGGCACTGCCTACGTCATCATAATTTATGATTAGCTAAAATTTCTATTGCACCTTAATCTTGCCTTCCACTACCATGATGAACAACAACTCCCCTCTGGATACTGAGACTCTGTTGGAACAGCAGTGAGTATGAAGACCTTTTGAGATATTCTCTTTATACTCACACCCGGCAACACAGTGAAAATGTTTCCAGTGAAAATGTTTCTCTTCGATGCAGGTCAACGTTGCTGCCGTGTTCGATTTGTGGGCTATTGACTTGGCCCTTTGGTACCGCCCACATTGACACTGCTGATGACATGTGCGTTGCTTCTTGCTCTTCTAATGGGTTGCCAATGCTGTTTTGTAACAGTGGTTTTCCGTTTTGGCATGGCCGACACCATCAGAAGCCGCGCAAACGAACTCTGTGCAAGCTGAGGGAAGGGATTCATTACATTACATGGTAGTCCCAGACGGCCCGCACGCAGGGAAGCACATTCGGCTTGGTGAGTGCATTTAGGTTGGCCCGAAAAATAGTTGTTTTTTGTTATACGCTTGAGATAATAGTCTCTGGATTTCTCCTGAAACGTCTGTGTTGTAATTGATGCACTTTCTGAGCTGTCTGTAGCTGTAAAAGGGTGATTCTTTGTCTTCCCAAAATGGAAATTGTTTCAAAGAGGATGACATGACAGGATTCCCATGCACCCCTTCTCTTTCTGCCACTGTCACTGCCCGTCTGCTCATCTTATAGACTGCAGAGAGACTGTGCGCATCACAATGGCTCGAACTGTTCCAGCGATGTCTGGGCTCATACCTCAAGTGGCATCGGCAGTGACACCGCCCAGCCTCCCGCACTGGGATCCCTCGCTGTATACACACGTCCATTGACGGTCGCTGGAGTATTCGGTGGTGCCACAGCTCCACCAGGCGAAGTTTCCATATCCTGCTTGGATGCCCACTGGATCGCTAGATTGCCTCCATCTTAACGTTCACATCAACGAATTCAGGCTTGAAGATAATCCAGCCGCCTTTGTGCGACACCCACCACATATAGCAAGGTGCACCATCGTTGTGTTGTATGTGAAGATCATCAAATCAGGTGACAAATGGGTTATGGCTGAATATGCTCCCGGAACGTTCAATACTGTGTGGAGCCCCACTTTACATTAGGGTTTTGATTTTTAACCCGCAGCCAATACGCTCTGCTGTCTGCTGGGGATTTGAATGCTGCTTCTTCAGTGGGGTAACCCGAAAAATGTGGCCATAAACGTGTAAACAAATTGGAGTTTGCTGAAAGAGTTGACAGCGTGACTGGGGACAGTCAGCAATCTCTCAATCTGGCACACAGCCTTTTCACTGGCAGCTTGTGAATGCAAGCATATATGTATCTAACAACGTACCTGGTCGACATGGAGGACATGGTGCGAGTCAAGACTGCGCACAGACCAGTTACAGTAGATGACAGTGTGACACTCCCACGCCCTGGGCTTTGTCTTTGAGTCGACAGCGCGTTCCCCTCAAATCCATTGAATCTCAGCTCACGGCCAGCAGAGGCGATTGGCAGTCATACAATATGCTGTTTAGAGGTGTCGGACTCAGTCACAGCTTTCGCAGAGACCCAATAAATATGCCACCTCACAATGTGTTCAACAGTTCTGGTCTTCTGTCCAATAACAACCACTATCAGCCACAGATTCAACTTCATGTCCGAGCCCGTCACCAACCTTTGCCTCACCTACCGGATTCTCGAGCGGAATGTCATCTACGCTTTACGCACACAACACGGAGACACGACCCAACTCAGCCACCGTGGAGCCCTTCATCTCCTTCAAGCAGCAGAACAGGCACATCCCTCACTATCCCATTGCACGCGTGTTTGATTCCTGCAATTAATCGCTTATTAGCATTGAGCCTCATTTGAACCAGTGGAATATGCAATTTAGATGCACGCTGAGCAGGAGACAACATTGGCACTCACGTAGCGACATCTGTTTGTGCTGCGCCAAAGCGGTGGGGATCTGAATCATCACGCTGTTGTTCCCCAGTACCCTCAACGAGAGGAACTATATGTATAGACATACAGTTAGTTGTGTGCTGAACAGGAGACAATGTTGGTACTCACCTAGCAACATTTGTTTGGGCGTCCATGTGCATACACACTTTGAAGCTTGTGTGATCATGAACAAAGACAATACAATGCCTCCACCCCTCACGGGTGAACACTTTGTACAGTGGATCAATTCCGTGATTGTCTGCCATCATCCGAGAGCTTCTGAGTGTCTGTACAGATGGCAGATGATGACGGAATGTCTTACAGTACATTAAATGCAGTGATTGTGTGCAGGTAAATCTCTGCAGTGAATCTGCTGCAGGCTGCCGAGGAATCATGGAGGGAGTTTACTGCACTGAAATCTTTAGACATCATTTACTAGAGTATTGTACCTGGAGTCAGAATGCTGGAGGCACGCAAGAATGGATTTAGTGCACGAATCTTTAGAGGTTATTTACTGGACGGCAGGAGTGGAAAAGCCTTAGTTTGTGGTAAAGACCCTTTCTTGAACGGTCGAGCTGGCAGAAAACTACAAGGAGATGAATACTCGTGCTCTCAGACATATCGAAAACGAGAGGACTGGAGTCAATTGAGAGGGTGATCTGTAAAGATCAGTGGAAATAGTCGTATGAAATAGAGAGATATAGCCTCGTGCCTAGAGCCTCAAATAGAGCCTGGGCAAGGATGATTAGCCAGACAGATGGTGCCATACAGCACATGATCTACTCCATCTTGACCGGGCATTGTGGAGAGCCCAGAAGTATTGGTATGAGGTAGTCTTTGATCCACCAGGAAACAAACGGTAGTCAATCCTGTTGATTCTGGGGTTAGGGCCTAAGTGCCTTACAACTGGGTGTTCTTTAGCATCAGTTACATACCTACTTTAGTTTCCTCTCCACACACACACACACACTCCTGAGGGCGCCATCTGTTTGTGCAGGTGGTTTTAGCTTATCATCCATCTTTCCTGCGCATTTTCCATTCCCTATATCCCCCCATATTCTCTCCCTGCCATGACTCATGATGAGAGGCTTCCCATCCTTACCAAGGAGTCTATATTCTCCAACTGGTCCAGTGACTCCAAGGCTAAACTCAAAGCCAAGGGTGTCTGGTCTTACTGTCTGCCTGCAGCTTCTGATGCAGAGATTAACACAGAGGCTAGAGACAGATGCTCTGGTCTCTTGTGGCAGATGTTGGGTGATGATGTCAAGCCTCTTGTTAAGGAACATGAGGATGATCCTTGCTCTCTTTGGACAGCTTTGGAACAACACTTAGAAAGGCAGGCGCTCGTTTCACTGCCTACCGCACTCTCACCTCTATTCGTCTTGGTGAGGGTGAGAGCTTAATCTCTCTGGTTGGTCGCACTGCTACTGCCATGAGAGCGCTCAAAGAGTCTCGCACCAAGGACTTCACTCTAGACAACGCACATGCAGAGTTGCATGCTATGGTCCTCTTTATGGCTCTCCCTGGTGAAGGGCGCTTTGCTATCCTTAAAGC